GATGCGGAGAACAGATTGGTGGTTACCAGAGGGGAAGGGGTAGGGGGGAGGGTGAAATGGGTAAAGGGGCGCATATATATAGTGACGGATGGAAATGAAACTTTTGTGGTGAACACGATGCAGTCTATACAGAAGTCGAAATATGTACACCAGAAATTTACATAGTTATAAACCAATGTGACCTCAAAAAAAAAAAATGTTCAGTTAGTGAGCCCACTATGCCTATTTCTCACAGAAGAAAAGTGAGTCCACGTTGTTGAGAGGTTGAGATGATTATAGTGAAGTGTTTATTGGGTTTTGCTACACAAACATTGTTGACCTTGCTCAGAGCCAGCAACAGTATAGATAAAAGCCAGATTGGAGGGAGTTGAACAGTAAACCGGAGGAGAGGACAAAGAAACAAAAATTGTAGGTAACTTGTTGGAGAATTTCTGTTATAAAAGGGAGCTAAGAAATGAGGTGAAAGCTCAGTGGGAATGTGGATTAAGAGAAATTTGTTGTTGTTTTTTTTTTGCTGGCCCTGGGCGAACATCTGTACCCATCTTCCTCTATTTTTTATGTGGGATGCCTGCCACAGCATGGCTTCATAAGTGGTATGTCCACACCCGGGATCCGAACTGGCAAACCCCCAGCCGCCAAAGCTGAGTGCACACACTTAACTGCTACGCCACTGGGCCAGCCCTGCGAAATTTGTTTTTTAAAAATTTTTTTATTGTGGTCTAAATAGTTTATAACATTGTGAAATTTCACTTGTACATTAATATTTGTGAAACACCATATAAATGAGCCCCTGCGCCCCTTGTGCCCTCCCCCCCAATAACCAATAAGTTGTTCTCTCTGTAAGTTTGTTTATAGGGAAATTTGTTTCTGTTTTTCAGGTGGGAGGAACCAGAACCTGTTTGTATGCTTACATAGTGATCCAGGAGTAAAGGGGATGAATGATGTACAGGAGAGGGAAGGGATAACTAAGTTGTGGCATCTTTGAACAGGCAACTAAAGATGGGATCCAGGGCAAAGTGGAGAGACCAGGGGGCCTTCAATGAAACAGAACCAGAAACTCTAAAGAAGAGTAGAAGTGGCTTAACAGAGGCCCTTTGATTACAAGGAACAATATTCCCATTTCAAACTAGCTAAGTAGAGAGGGGCATTTTTGAAGATATACAGTAGACGAGCTCTTGGACATCCAAGGATAGGAAATAAAGTACAGCTGGCCTTGCGGGGACCCTAACTAGAAAATCACTAACCAAGGTGGTATGTGCCAGTCTCAGTCTCTCAATAACCAGTGTGGTGGTTAGACTGGCCCTTGTGGTTCTTATTATGATTGCAAGATGCTCTTCAACAGTAACCATCAGGAAACTTTGAGAAAATAAAGGTTTATTACAGGACCTGGAAATTACCCAGCACACCTAGGGCCACACAGCAAGGTCACCGGTAGAAAGAGAGTGCACACATGGGCCTGGGGTTCAGCTTTTATTGGGGTCGAGGATGGGGGCCTAGGATTTTATGGACTAACTCTTTGTGATTTTAAAACATAAGAATGGGAATTTAAAGCAAAGGAGGAAAAAAACAAGCGACCCAAGGGTCAGTTATCAAAATCAACCAAGATCTCTAAAATAAAGGATCCTCCGTGGAGGGAGGGGGCCTGGCTCTTTATCTAGTCATGTGGCTGGCAGTGTTTATTTGAGGTGCCCTCTTGAAGTGGATGCCTCAGCAATTAAAGCTTAAGTCAGGTGATTGCATTACAAAAAAGAAAGAATAAAACATGTCAGGGTTTACACTACACAAGGAATCACTGTCTCTTACAGTGTGCCATGGTCTTTTTCCTCCTTTCTCTGAGTGTATATGTTCCGTTCCTTTGCTTCTCTGCTTACTCATGGCTTTTCTCTTTGCTGTCACCTCTGTTTTTACATGGTATTGGCTGGCCATTGTGCTCACTAGCTCCAGCCCCTTGTGACCTTTCAGTTCAAGTGCCCATCATCATCCAGTTGACCCAGTCTCCCAGGGTGCCATCTTGGGTCAGGTCCATTCCAGTCTTGGTCCCATCAGCCCTGCCAGTGGGAGGAGGATGGGAGTCTCCGTGTCGGTACTTAGGGCTGTCCATTCCAGACCCTTTTGAGAAAGGAGTGTAGTTGGAGAGGCAATGACTAGCATGTTTACTACAAGTAGGAACTTTTAATTCAAAGGTGGATCACAGGTAATATGCTAGGATCCTTCATGATAAGTAGGTTACAATAAGCAGCAGCCCAAATTATATGATGCGTTAAGGGTACACTTGTTCTTGCACAGCTGATACTGAGGAGCACATCCATTAAGCAGATGCACTTGGACCTTGCCTCCTGAGCATAGACGCGTGTGCTGGCCTGGGCCAGGAGCTTATGTTGTCACTTGAGTGGATGTGTGAAGCTCAGGAGAGTGAAAATACAAACCTTACTGATTTAGTGACACAGCTTTCAGAGGTACATGTATAGCTAGAGATGGCAGATACATTTCATTTCAAGGTCTGCACAAACAGGCTAATGTGATAGCAACGGGTAACATGTTGGTGATCTCAGTTGGGTTTACAGTTGGTATATTCGATAGATGAATTCAAAGAGTTCGTGGGGCTCTTGCTTGAAGCATCTCAGTGGAACCCGATATTTGAAGACCATTGTGCATCACCAAGTAGTCTTTCTCCTCTGAACCCTGGGGATGGCTTGCCTATTACGCCTCTCTTGTAGTTCTTACCAAATTCTGTTTTAGGAACCAGTATAGGTAATTTTAACATCTCTCCCTTCTAAGATTATTATTGCTGTTTGAGTATAGGGACGATATTTTACAGATCTCAAATTCCCCATATTGCCTTCTATAATGTAAGTGATCTTAGCCTGTTTACTGAGCAAGTGAAGGATCAAATAGTCTTATGTATATTAGTCATCTCTCCCTCACAAAGACCACAAAGGCATCTCTTCTCAGAATCGGGGCTGCATTGAATATTGTCATGATGACATTTTTGAGTTAAATCAGGACTAAATTAGATTACCTTAGAGTTAAATTCTGTTCTTCCACTGCCTAGGAAAACATTCTCTCTTTAAGCTGCCATTGGCATGTATCTATTCTCATCCAAACACTTTATAAAAATTAATTTAGGGGGCATATCTGGTGGTTATTGTGGTTATCTCTGCTCATAACCAGTCTTTGTCAAATTTCTTGTTGTCTGTGCTGTATCGTAAGTAGAAAGCTTTAGTTGGTTATCTGCATGGAGTCAGGACAAAGCTTGTTTAATGGCATTTGTTCCTAAGAACAGTGTGGAAAGAATTGAGATGTAGGGGCATGATATTTACTCTTTCTTTTTTTATTTTAAAAGAATTTATCTGGTAAAACTGGACAGCCACATGCAAAAGATTGAAAATTGACCATTCTTTTTCACCACACACTAAAATAAACTCAAAATGGATCAAAGACCTAAAGATTAGGCCTGAAACAATAAGTCTTCTGGAAGAGAATATAGGCAGTACACTCTTTGACATCAGTTTCAAAAGAATCTTTTCGGACACTATAACTCCTCAGCTGAGGGAAACAATAGAAAGAATAAACAAATGGGACTTCATCAGACTAAAGAGCTTCTTCAAGGCAAGGGAAAACAGGATTGAAACAAAAAAACAGCTCACTAATTGGGAAAAAATATTTACAAGCCACTTATCCGACAAAGGGTTAATCTCCATAATATACAAAGAACTCACACAGCATAACAACAAAAAAACAACCCGATCAAAAAATGGGCAGAGGACATGAACAGACATTTCTCAAAAGAAGATATGAATATGGCCAATAGACACATGAAAAGATGTTCATCATCGCTAATCATCAGGGAAATGCAAATCAAAACTACACTAAGATATCACCTTACACCCGTTAGAATGGCAAAAACATCCAAAACCAAGAGCGACAAATGTTGGAGAGGTTGTGGAGAAAAAGGAACCCTCATACACTGTTGGTGGGAATGCAAACTGGTATAGCCACTATGGAAAACAGTATGGAGATTTCTCAAAGAGTTAAGAATAGAAATACCTTATGACTCAGCCATCCCATTACTGGGTATGTATCCTAAGAACCTGAAATCAGAAATCCCAAGAGTCCCTTGCACCCCTATGTTCATCGCAGCATTATTTACAATAGCCAAGACGTGGAACCAACCTACATGCCCAGAAACTGATGATTGGATGAAGAAGATATGGTATATATACACAATGGAATACTACTCAGCCATAAAAAAAGACAAAATTGGCCCATTCACAGCAACGTGGATGGACCTCGAGGGTATTATGTTAAGCGAAATAAGCCAGTCAGAGAAAGACGAACTCTATATGACTCCACTCATAGGTGGAAGTTAGTATATTGACAAGGAGATCTGATCGGTGGTTACCAGGGAAAAGGGGGGGTGGGGAGAGGGCACAAAGGGGGAAGTGGTGTACCCACAACATGACTAACAAAAATGTACAACTGAAATCTCACAAGGTTGTAATCTATCATAACATTAATAAAAAAAAAAAAAAAGAAAAAAGAATTTATCTGGTAATGTAGACCATATTTGTATGAGGTGTGTTTGCCTCACATCAGAAACATTTGTTAGAAGTGAGTGGGTGGAGAAGTAGCAAGTTTTACTTAAATTTTTTTAAGCAATGAGGATATTTTCTTCTGGTACCTTAAAAATACTTAATTTAGAACTTCGATTTAACTTGAAACTACACTTTAGAAAGCTTATACTTTAAAAAGGCTTAGAAATTTTAAGATGATAAACTCAGAAGTTAAAACATATATTTCCGATGAACAGTTAATCAGAAAAGTATATTAGAAAGTAGTAATTTTTTTCTGATTATAACAGTGATATATGCTAACTGTGGACAATTTGGAAATCAAAGTATAAAGAAGTAGAGTGAAATCACCATAAATCCATCACTGAGAAGTATAAGATGATGTAGATTGATATTTTTTACATCATAACATAAATATTTATATTACAGGACATAAGATATGTGGAGCGAGGTTATGTATCAAAACCCACTTTGAATGTAAGTATAAATTTACATCATCCTTTGAAATTTCAAGAATTTAAAGGAAATGTAGTCAGTAAAAAATGCATATTCTTATAATTTGCATATATGTAAGGGTCAACTTGGGATGATGGAATAGTTAGGAATAGCTAATTATTGAAATATTAAGTTAAACTCCCAAGTTACCATAAAAAATGTTAATCTAGTGCTCTGCGTAATTTCTGCTTCTTCCCCATTGTCTACTGTGAAACCACCTTCTCTGTAAAAGTGGGAAGGATCTACGCCTGTTTTAGAGTTGGTTTGTCTTAGGTTTTCTGTTAGGTCCTAAATCATAAAGCACCAACATTGAACTGATTAGTTTCACTCCTGTTCAAATCTTGAAATTAATTTAATCTTTGATGAGTAATCATTCATAAAAATGTGTGTTTCTTAGATATCTATGAATTATGTTTATTTAATGAAAGATGATTTGGGTAAAATATTTAAATATAATAATCTTTACCATCTTCTGTCCTGCCAGGAAGTGGTCATAGTAGGTGCTATAAGAACACCTATTGGATCCTTTCTAGGCAGCCTTTCCTCCCTGCCAGCTACTAAACTGGGTTCCATTGCCATTCAGGGAGCCATCGAAAAGGCAGGTCAGTAGTTGCTTTGCTTTCTGTGTAGAGGGAACAGCCATTCAATGGAACAAATATTTATTTTGCACTTACTGTGTACATAACACCTAGAAAGGACTTAATGCCTACGTTTCTGAGTTCCCTCAGAAAGAAGTCCTTGTACTATAGAGTTAGGAATGAAAGTCAAAACTGACAAGAAAAAGAAACTATTCCTGCTGTATAAAGTCATGGACCCTATTAGGTAATCACTAATTATTAAATGGAATAAAATATGGAAACGTATTTTTGATGTTTTAAAAAAGGGATTCCAAAAGAAGAAGTGAAAGAAGCCTACATGGGTAACGTTCTCCAAGGAGGCGAAGGACAGGCCCCTACAAAGCAAGCGGTATTGGGTGCAGGTACTAGGATCACATTTTTGCTTTTATACTTAAAATGTTTGACGTGGCAAAATGGGGGTCATTTCAGCTTAAATAAAATGTTAAACGCATAACATAATTTACCATTCATAGACTTAGACTGGCAGGAGTGTTACAGACGGCAGATCAGCATGCCCTTTTACTTTTAATTCTATGGTTGTGTTTGAAGAGCATCTTTGTTTTTCAGAAGTATGACTTATTTATTATTGGTTTTAGGCTTGCCTGTTTCTACTCCATGCACCACTATAAACAAAGTTTGTGCCTCAGGAATGAAAGCCATCATGATGGCCTCTCAGAATCTTATGTGTGGACATCAGGTAAGAAGCACCTCCTTTTCCACTTTGTGACTAAAATAATATGCAGTGACAATAAAAACTGGAGCACATTCGTGCTGTAAGAGAGACTCTTACAAGTCTGGGTGCTGTGTTGTTTCAGACACGCAGGAGGGTCTGGATTTGCTAATTCCATTTGAAGTAGAGGTCAAGATGATAGGCCAAGTGTCGTATTACAAAGTAGTTTTCAGCCAAGATGTTTTAGTCTTCAATGACCCTCTACGTCTTTCTCTGAGATTCTGGGTGATATAAAACAGCAGAAATTCTGTATTTGCTTGAATAAGAAAGGTTTTCATCATAAATAAGAATAAGGTGCTGACCCTGGGAATCAACTCATTGCCTGAGCCTAGAATTGACTAGTTTGTGGTTCCTACATGCTCCAGTTCAGCTGGGAAGTTGTGCAGCTTTCCATTGGCCTTGCTGATTTAGATCTTGTCTTTACTTGAGATGAAGCAAGAGATAGGCTGCCCAGCAAATATGTGCTGTGGTGTTAGGAGACTAGACCTAGGCTAGACTCATAGAACTTAAGAGTTTATTAGAGCCAAGCCCTTTTTTTCAGTTGAGGAAAGTGAGGTTGAGATGACCACGAACACAAAGTTACAGGGTCTTTATTCTTATCTTGTGCTTTCCAGCCTAAAAGGGCATCACACACCAGGGTAAAAATCAGTTGTGAGGTGTTTGCAAATTATTTCTTTTTTCTTTCTTTTTATTTTATTGTTTTATTTCTTCTTTTTTTGCTGGGAAAGATTCGCCCTGAGCTAACATCTGTTGCCAGTCTTCCTCTCTTTTTTTTTCCTCCCCAAAGCCCCAGCACATAGTTCTATTTTGTAGTTGTAAGGCCTTCTAGTTCTTTTATGTGAGCTGCTGCCACAGCATGGCTACTGACAGATGAGTGGTGTAGTTTGCACCCAGAAACCAAACCCAGCCCACCAAAGTGGAGCATGCCAAACGTAACCACTAAGCCATCAGGACTAGCTCGCCAGTTATTTCTTACATATACAAAAACCACAATTATTTGTACCTTGCTGTTACTCTCTTGCTGTTTCCAATTATAAGGCAAGCCAAAGAGAAAAAAAGGACAGAGTGATATCTGAGCTAATATATCAGACACTTTATTATAAAAGTTATATATATACATGCTAAAAACTGGTATGGAAAAGTATAAAATGAAAAATAAGTCTGTCTTCTTGCATCCCTCTGAGTCTCTGACTTTTTCACCACTTTCTTGTGTGTTCTGCCACTTAAGAGCAGAGAAACTCTGGGAAAGTTACTTAAATTCTGTGCCCCACTCAATGTCTTGAGATATTTCTATATCAGCACATAAGACAGTATTTTACTGAACTGAACAACTATAATATATTTTATGGTCCTCATTGAATGGACTTTTATAGATTGTCTCTGTGGAGTTCTTTACTATTTTAAATAGTGCTGCACTGAGTACCCCTGTACATATACCTTTGGGTACTTATATAAACAGTGGAATCTAACAGAGGTTGGATTGGTGGTTACCAGAGGGGAAGGGGGAGGAAGGAGGGCAAAGGGGTGATTAGGCACATGTGTGTGGTGATGGATTTTAATTAGTCTTTGGGTGGTGAACATGATGTAATCTACACAGGAATCGAGATATAATGATGGACACCTGAAATTTATATAATACTAGAAACCAGTGTTACTGCAATAAAAAAAAAAGTTGAATCTACTGCACTGAAGCAGTACAGTGTAGTGGTTATGAACACAAAGTTTGGAGCGAGACTAATTTCAAATCCCAGCTCTTCCCCTCATTAGCTGAGCGCCTACTATGTGACATTTACTGGAGATTGGTGAACAAAACATTAAAAAATCTCATCATGTGTAAGTCTGTCTACTGGAAAAATTCATAAGAGGAGAATTTGTGAGTCAGAAGATTTTAAAATTTTGATATTTTCAAATGTTTTCCATAAAAGTTGCACCAGTTACATACTTTCCAAAGGTTTTAGGAGCTCGTTTGCCTTCATACAAGGTAACACCAACATTGGGTGTTACCAAACACTTGTCAAACCAGTGGGTGAAAAATGGTCATGAGATTGTTTAGATGTTTCAAAACTGTTTTAGTGACAAGGAAAGTTTTGTCTTAGTTGATTTTTTGTGGTTCTCTAGCAAATGCTATTTGCACTACAGTGAAATGCTTTCAGTTGGTATTATTTGATTCATTTGTGCATGTATACAATTATTTGACCTACAGGAATACTAAGATTGCCTTATTTTGAATGATTAATTATGATTTTGGAAAAGGGTCAATTTTATATTAATAGGATGATTGGAACGTTATTTTCTGTCACTTATTGCCATCATCCCTAGAAAATATTCAGTATTTCAGGATAACTGAAAGAAACTTACATTAGAACTAATTGAAAATCATATTACAAAATGGGTAAAATGTTTGTTTCTTTGGGGTAGGACGTGTTTGTCTTTATTCCTGATTAAAGGGTGTGAGAAAATAACGTTGGCTTTAATTTTGTTTACACTAATGTTTTATATTAAACCGTTTGTTTTAAATTACGCCTTATAATGCAAATGAATTTTTGTTGATTTATAATAACAGGTTAGTTGATTAATATTTATTAAACTTCTAAATATGTCAGGCACTGACATAAAAATACATAGGACAGGGTTTCTGGCCTCAGAGGAGCTTAGTTTAGTGAGGAGATTCAACATGTAAATATAGCTACAATACAGTATAATAGTACTATAAAAGCGTTACACGGTAATTGGGGAACACAGAAGAGACATTGTTCTAAGGAGGGATAGAACTAGGTGGTCAGGAAGGACTGGCTGAGTCTTGATTAGTTTGAAAGGAAATGGAGGCGTTTTACATGTTGGTGGCTGGGTCAAAAGTGCAGAGGTACGAATGAGATGGTGTTTTTGAAAACCGTTAAACAGTTCTGTATGAGCTAAGGTGTAGGTCCAGGCATGAGACTAGAAAGGTAGAGAAGGCAGATCGTAAATGGCCTTATGTACTATGCTGAGCAGTCCTTTAAGGAGTGGAATGATCAGATTTATATTCTAGCCAAAATGACTCAGGTGAGTGTAGATGATGCCTGGGTGGAAGAAAGGCTGCATGTGAGATGATCAAGTAGAAGAACATTACAGCTGTCTGGGAAGAGTTGATGAGGAGGATCTCAATCAAAGAAGCAGAAGGATTATTTCTGTGAACTGAGATTACTTTTAATCTTTTAAAAGACATTGTTAGCAGTGCGAGTGAAAAGCAAGGTTAGATCCTGCATTACTTCTATCCTATCCAGTCATATCTAATGTAGAAAATTAGTTTCCAGTGAAAGTAATATGTAGTGCTTTTATGATATTTGTGTGCAATATCCCCTCTTCCACTGAGGATATTTGATGTAAAAGAAAAAAAACTCAGTTCCACAATAAAATACAAAAGTGGCAAAAGTTAAAAAAAAATTTCAGAAGATGGTCTTACGTGAAAGATTCCTACCATTTTTATTAATGTCCAATTCTAATCTTAATTATCATTATAGATTTTAAACCATTTCCTCTCACCAGCGTCAAGACACTGCTTTATATATATTCACTGTGTAATAAATGTTCAGTAAAGTCCATGTAGAATACTTGTTTGTTGTAGCTGCGTAAAGGGTATAATGGGTTTGCAACTACTATTTGAACTGACACTGGGTTTTTTGTGTTGCTGAGCAGGATGTAATGGTGGCAGGTGGAATGGAGAGCATGTCCAACGTTCCCTACATAATGAACAGAGGAGCAACACCATATGGTGGGGTAAAGCTCGAAGATTTAATTGTAAAAGATGGGCTAACTGATGTCTACAATAAAATTCACATGGTAATTATTGCTTTTTAATGGAGAAATGCTGTATACTATACAATATTGCTTGATTTTTTAAAATATATTTTAGTAACTGAAGGATGGGCTTTATAAATGTTGATTTTAATCATTCATTTTAGGAAAATATTTTTTCTATGTTCATTGTATCAGCTTGGCTCAATTCTTGAATAAATTGCCCCACACTGGAATAGGGCATTTTCTAACTTCTAATGTTGGATTCCATAATCATTTAAATATTGCCTTTGAAATAGCAACTTCTGTGCTAATTCAAGCATTTGAAGATGAGACGTGGGTGTAAAGTTACTTAGTACAGAAAGAAGTGTATTTTAAGAAACTAAATTTAACTGCTAACTACTATTTTATGTTATGCAAAGTTAATAGATATTTTATAAGTTATACAAAGTTAGTTTTTAAAAAATCCCAACTTTTATCAGGGCAACTGTGCCGAGAATACTGCCAAGAAACTGAATATTGCACGAGATGAACAGGATACTTTTGCTATTAACTCCTACACCAGAAGTAAAGCAGCGTGGGAAGCCGGAAAATTTGCAAATGAAGTTATTCCTGTCACAGTTGCAGTAAAAGGTAGAGGGATAATGTAGACTTTACCTGTTGCCGAATTTTTTAAGTTTTAAATTAGTACATGTTTATCTTTGTTCATTTCAACTGAGGACACCGACACTTCCGCTTACGGTTGATGAAGGGAAATCTTGCCAGTTGAGAGATAATATAATTCAATTCGATTTAATATCAGATTTCAACTCAGTTGCAAATTCCACTAAGCATATTATTTTTGAGAAATGTATTTATTAAAACTCTAATGTAAGTGACAGATGTCACATTAGCTTAAGTGAAAAAGGGGATTTATCAGAAGGCTACTGGGGGTACTTCCCAGAACTGAAGGATGTATGGCAGCAACTAGTCAGCTCTGGGACCTTCCGGGATTGGAACTGGCTGTTCAGTTAGGACATGCTCTCTTGGCTTCTCTGTGCTGCATGCTTCTGTGCTGTATTCTTTCAGGTTCCTGAGTTGCTGCCTCCATCTCTAGAGTCACATCTACAGGGCTCTCAAAGAGGAGACTTCTCACCAACTCCAGCAGAATAATGCACAGGAAAGACTCATTAACTTGGTTTAGGTTATATTTCTGTTATAGAAAAGATTACTGTGCTTAGAATGATGGAATACTAGAGCTTATCCAGCCTAGGTCAGACATCTCCCCTTGGGGTGAGAAGAAGTCTGTAATCATAGGCGGCAGAGAGAGACGAGAATGGGATATGGCTGAATAGAAGATTTAAATTGTGTTAAGCTACTTAAACTCTTCAAGACACTAAAGGAGATTATAGATGGTAGATTCTAGAGCAGAATTTACTGAGGGTGGTTTAAGGTATGCAGGCATATAAAGAGAGGCACAGACTACCAGGCACCTTGTGCAACAGTTTATTACTGAATGACTAATTGTTGTCTTGACTGGTAACATTACTTAAAAGCTTTTTGTTTTAGGTAAACCAGATGTAGTGGTGAAAGAAGATGAAGAATATAAACGTGTTGATTTTAGCAAAGTTCCAAAGTTGAAGGCAGTATTCCAGAAAGAAAATGGTTAGTATTAAAAAATGAAGCATAAGAAAAAACGCAGTCAAACTATGTATCTAGTCTTGGAATTGTCTATTTTTAAAAAGTAATTCTAGAAAGCATCTACATGTTATTTGACATTTTCAGTACATCAGTCTCAAGTGAAATTAACAAAACAAATGATATTTATCCAAAGTATATTTAAAATTGCTTAACAGTTAATACCTTCAATATATGAATCCTAGGGAAGAGATTGTAGAATGACTACAGAATTCAGTTTTTCATATGCAGTTCATCTTGAAAGTTTATTGTGGTGTGAAAGCCAAGTTTACATATTCTGTTAAATATCTGTAAGCCTCTTGAGGACTCAGATGACAGCTGTGTTGTTCACTATTGTATCTAGTACCTGGCATGTGGTAGGTCCTTAATAAATAATCATTGAATGTTAGTATAAACAGGATCCCAGTGTTCTAAAGTAATGGTTTTGAAATCCTTTGAGAAATGCTCAGTTTTGCTTTTAAAATTAGCTGTATTCAGTTGTGATGATAATCTGAAACTATTTTTTTCCCCCGTTCCTGATTTTTTATTTTTGCGGTAACATTGGTTTATAACATATACATTTTAGGTGTACATCATTATATTTTGATTCCTGTGTAGATTACATCATGTTCACCACACAAAGACTAATTACAATCCATCACCACTCACATGTGCCTAATCACCCCTTTTTCTGCTCTTGCCTTCCCCCTTCCCTGATTGAATTTCTCACTACCAACTACAGAAATGGGTCTTTCTTTTTTTTAAAGCATCATATAAAAATTTATATTGCAAAAGTATATCTTTATAATTTTAGCAGCAGTCTATTATAGGGTCTTCATTGATATTTTTAAAACACAGCTTGATATATAATTTACATACCATAAAATTCTCCTGTTTAAAATGTACAGTTCAGTGATTTTTAGTATTCATTGACATTTAACTTCAAGTGATTGTAGAGAAGAAGTATCTGATTTTGACACTGATTTGAAAAATATATAATGAGTGTCTGCTCTAATGTGGATAAGCAAAGAGACTCTGGGGAGAAAAATAATGAATTGGTCCTTATGTTTGAAGAATTGTAAACCAGCATTTTCCCAGTGCCATCATGCAGGTGTTTCTGAGCTAGCTTTGAATAAACTGTTACCAAAAACTAACACAAGAAGGCATTCTTACATTAATTGTTATAGTTAGCTATGTATGTTTCCTGAGTAGGAATTATCTCCACCCATATTTGTAATTTTTCATGCATCTAGCCACCCAGGCAGTACTCTGTAGGAATCTGTCAAATTGACCCACGTGAATTCAATGTGAAAAAATGTTTTGACTTCATGCTCATTGATGCTTTTAGGCACAGTAACAGCTGCCAACGCCAGCACACTGAATGACGGAGCGGCTGCTGTGGTTCTGATGACCGCAGATGCGGCCAGGAGGCTCAACGTTAAACCACTGGCAAGAATAGCAGGTGGCAATGTTCTGAACTTGTTTATTCCTAAACCCCAATCAGCTCTTCCTGAAATTAAGTTTCCTTGTTGGTAATACATAATATTGAAGTTGGCTATTTCTAGCTATAGGTTGTACTTTGTGACAGAATTTATTCCATGTTTTAATTGAGATAGAAGATCCTTTAATATTTTGGTCATAATTGTATGTAAGAGTAAGCTTTAAAAATCTTGTCCTCGGGCCGGCCTGGTGGCACAGCGGAGAATTCAAGGTCTGTGTTTTACCCTGGCACTGTGGGGAAGGTAGAATAAAAAGGACATTGGATTAGGAGTCTAGAAATGTAAAATATAGATGTTTTTGCATTTATTATTAAATATGTGGCCTTGACATACCCTCAGTCTCCTTAAATTTATATTTTTAGCTGTAAAATCTGCCTTCCCTTCTTCAAAAGGAGTTGAACAGATATTATTGTTACTTTATAAAAATCTTGTAACTTCATTTTTAGTTTAGATCATGGTTTAACCTTAGCACTATTGATATTTTGCAACAAATAATCTGGTTGTGGGGGCTGTTCTGTGCGTTGTAGGATGTTTATCAGCATCCTTGGCCTCTACCCACTAGATACCACAATAAGTTGCATTCTACCTATTGTGACAACCAAAAATATCACTGGATAATGCTAATGTCCCTGGAGGCAAATTCCCTCTAACTTCCTACATGTGAAAAATCAATTCGATGATTGGTATCATTTTGTAACATGTAGAATCTTAAAAAAGAAACAAATACCATTACATATAGGGGTTAGGAAACTTGTATTTTTGGATGTTATATATAACAGTTGTTAGATATAGCTTTGGGTGCTTGTAAAAATTTTAACAACCTATTTATTATTATTTTTTATAAAGCATTTGCTGATGCTGCTGTAGAACCTATTGATTTTCCAATTGCACCTGCATATGCTGTACCTAAGGTGAGAACAATGTGAGGATTTGCCATTATGCCAACTTCTGGTTTGCTTAAACCAAGGTTGCAGGTTTAGTTGTTAAATGTTATTCATAAAGCACAGAGATAGCTTGGTTTCAAATCTTCTCACTTCTTTTGAAAACAATTAGAGCAACAAGGTTGACAAACCAAAAAAATAAACGAGCAGCTGATAAACCCACATCTTCAATGGAACAGATTAAAAACTACATAATTGAATTTCTTTCAAGTATGATGCTAAACTCAGACGCCTAGTATGGTAACCACAAAGTGGGAGGCTGGTGCTGCAGAGAAAAAAAGGGAATGCTGAGGGTCCTGGTTCTAGAATTCAAAGCAAATATTCACTACTAGAAGGGGAGGTTTCAATCCTGAAAGAGAACTGCTAGGAGCAGGTCTTAGAGTAAAACTACAAAGAGAACCTACATACTCCAAATTGTCAGTCTAAGTCTCTGTGGGAAGTTGCTAAGGGGTCACAGGAAAAGAGACAGTGTGAGGAGGTGTAGGGGTTGAGGAATCTCAGAAGGCGCCAGCAAATGTTCCTTTTCAGGAGAGGGCCTCACCCTGAGAGTGAACTTCTGAGAGCAGCATCCAGGTTAAAAAAGAGTAGAAATCAGTGGGGAATAAGGATAGAGAAGGATCAGAAACAATGGGGAGTGAGGATCTGTCCAGAGGTGGCAGATCTCAGCAAGCGACAGAATTATACAACTTCTGAAAGTGAATGCATCTCATTGGAAAGCAGGAGAGACAAACAGTTCTGGATTCTGAAGCCAGAAGCTAGATCCTGACCCCAGCTAGAAGCTGAGAGTTAGAGAAGTGGCTACACTCAGGTACCATGTTTTGTCTTGTGCTGTTGGAACAGAGGAAGCTGTGTGAGCTGTACAGCTTAGAAAGCTACCTGAGCCTGCTGGAGAAGGCGAGGAATAGTTTCATGTTAATTTTATCATTGCGCATGACAAAAATATTTCTAAAGAAAAAGGGCACTAGCAATATTGTATAAAGATAATAGCAAAGGGTAACTAGTCCCTTAACACCTTCCTGCATAGCTGAGGAACTACTAAAACAAGAGATCATACAATAAAAGACTTCAAGTAAATAATTTACAATGAAGATACAATAAGCTCTGAATATCTGTGCCCGAAATAACTCCACAGCAAGTTTCATAAAGCAGAAACTATAGAGGATGCAATGAAAAACAGAAACATACTAACAGTAGTAATATTCCTCTTTCATTTGCCAGATCAAGAATCTAAGCATCATAGAATCTGTAAAGTAGATCTTTAGAATATACATCAATTATGTACCTGCAAATCAAGAGTACATGTTCTTTTCAGGTATCTGTGGAATGTTCAAGAAAATCAAGTTCTCTCTCTCTCTCCAAAATAGAAATAAAATAATGCAAACAAGATTCTTTGATTATAGTGCAATAAGATGAGAAATTAAAAGCAGAAAATAAAAGAGCCCTTCCTCCTGGAAGCTAAGAAACTCCATATGAAAATATTTGTTGCATCAGAGGCAAATACAAACCAAAATTGCAGAATTTCAATAAAACAATGATAATAAGTTTTGAGTGTTAATTATCTAAACATAACCTATATTTAAAATTTTTTTAGGTTCTCAAAGATGCAGGATTGAAAAAAGAAGATATTACAATGTGGGAAGTAAATGAAGCCTTTAGTGTGGTCGTACTAGCAAACATTAAAATGCTAGAGCTTGATCCCCAAAAAGTGAATATTAATGGAGGAGCCGTTTCTCTGGGACATCCAATTGGGTAGGTAAAATCATAAAGAAAAACATCTATCTAGGTTAATGGCTGCCTTTGTATTTCTGTCTAAACTTAAACTGCTTCATGATAATTCCTATTAGTCTTGGTTTAACCGTTTTCCTTCCCACCTGTCCTTGGTAAGGCAAACCCCATTTCTGATAGAATCTAACACTGAATACAAAGATCTGTCACATTTGTTGCTTGAAAACTAGTTTTATGTTGAAGAAGATAAATTAAGATTAAAATCTATGCTTGGGCTTTTTATAAAGCTGTCACCATTCTTAAACAAGTCTCCCAAGTTAAAGAAAAGTAGTCAAATTCAGCTATAACTAATTGCTAATAAGCTTTTCAAGAAGTTAATTTGGAATAGAAACATTTTTAGTTAGTCATAATTCTATAATTCATTAAAGAACCAAAATGCTTTCTTAATCCTAGGATGTCTGGAGCCAGGCTTGTCGTTCATCTGACTCATGCCTTGAAGCAAGGAGAATACGGTCTTGCCAGTATTTGCAATGGAGGAGGAGGTGCTTCTGCCATCCTGATCCAGAAGCTGTAGACAACCTCTGTTGTCTTAAGGCAACAACCCTACGTGGCCAGAAAGACCCGTTGTAATGGGTGTGACTGACTACCCTGGCTCAGCTTGGACTCAAAATCTGTTTCATTTATTTTATTATTTTCTATTTTAACTTTTTTTTAATATGATAAAAAGATCAAATCCCAACACCTTTTGAAATTAAATGTAAATTTTTCTTCTGCTTTAAATTTTTTATAATCTCTAGAAGTTCAACACGTTTTCATGTTATAAAGCTATACTATTTGAAATACCAGTGTGCAATATTAGTGACATAAGTAGCTAGAAGTTTCCATTTTAGAGAACAAATCATAATCTATATTTGTGAGGACTGTTTGTTAAAGATCAAGTGAATGTCACCTATAGCTAACTCAGATTTAGTAGACTCTTCAAAGCGAGAGCAAGCTATTTTGGGCAAACTAGCAGTGCCTCATACCGTTAGTCAAGTAGCCACAATGTGTGAAGTGTTGCTAGAAACAGGAGAAACTCATGTGCTCAGGTCCAGAGTGGGTGCACTTTCTCATAACCTCAGCATTCAGGATTTGGTTGGGGTGAGGTCAAACAAAATCCTGGTGTTTAGGCTCTAGGTTCCTACAGCAGCATAGAGTGAGAAAGAAGGTGGAAACTGCTCAACTGAATGGATTTATAAAGGGAAGAGATGGTCACTTTCAATATGCCACAATGCTTGTTCTTAGCAGGATAAAATGCAGCACAAGTACCTCGAACTGCATTTCATCTGGGGGAAAAAACCACTGCAGGCAGGGGGACTTATGCACACCAACCTCAGCTGCAGCTCCGAGAAGGGAAAGCTGCTACTCGAGTTGAGCTTGACAGTAGTGGGGGAGAGGGGGCAGAAAAGATCATTGTATACACGGACCTCTTGGCAAATAATTCATTGTGAATCCTTATCTTTGAAGGAACAAAAAGGCAGTTTGTGGCAAAAAAGAAATATTGTTTAAAAGAATACTTTCAGAAATACCTGTGTGGTAATCACAGCTAACTTTTGTGGCTCACTGTGTGCTTTCTGTCCTAGAGGCTTTATTTATATTAACTCCTTTAATCCTCACAAAAACCCAAGAGGGTAGGTAGGTACTATTATTATCCCTGCTCTACAGATAGGGAAATTGAGGCATGGAGTGGCTAAATAAATTCCAAGGTCAAATGCCTGGTGAGTAGCTGCAATGGGTTCTAATCCCAGCAGTCTCACCTTAGAGCCCAAGTTCTTAACTCGCTATGCTCGGCTTCTCGGGACTCTCAGTAAGCATCTGTCCTAACTATAACAGGAACTCAGCAAAATACACGAAAAAAAAGAAACCCAAAATATATTAGAATACTTTGTTGAAGAGAAGCAGAATTAACACTGCACCCAAAAGTCAGTGATCTGAAAAACATCTGAAAAGCTCTGACAATTCTGGGAAATAATGAAGAGAGGAAAACAAAAAAGGATACAGAACCAACAAGTAAATGGTATTTCTTAAAAAGAAATAAATTCAAATAGTTCTCTGAAGCAATAATTACAATATAATAGAAAAACTCAGGTTTTTAAATACTAAGTGGGCAGATTTTGAACCTTATTTCATTAGCAAAATTAACAGAATCATACTAAGATATTCTGGAGAAAACAGTAAAGAAGAAAATTCTTCAAACATTTAGAGAGAAAAATGGGTAGTTTAAGTCCTTACTTCTAATCAGAAGACAAGTGACCACCATCTACATATTTGTAATGGAATAAAGTGATAGATAACTAGAAGGAGTGTCTAGGCATGCAAGAGCTTAGAAAGTACAGCACTCTGATGTTTTCCCCCCAAAATGACAAAGGTTTATACCAGCACATGGAAAGAAGAATCAAAATCAGGAATTCAGGAACATGAAAGTTTAAAATTTTTTAAATGATTAAGAACTAGCTGGGGAGCAAGGGAAGGTACTGGTAAAATAGGGGTAAAAATATATATATGCTAAATAAAGGCAAATGCCAGTAGAATGTAAAAGTGAGTTCTACATCTTAAATTATTATAGAACATAAAAGCTGAAAACCCAATTATAGAAGTAAGAAGACAGGGTTGGCATATATCATAAAATGATTAGAAGTCAAGGCAGAAAGTGTTAAAAAAATAGGACAAGAACTATCCTGTACAGGCATACCTTGGAGATACTGCAGGTTTGATTCCAGACCACTGCAGTAAAGTAAGTCACACAAATTTTTGGGTTTCCCAGTGCATTTAAAAGTTATCTTTATACTGTAGTCTAGTAAGTGTGCAATAGCATATGTCTAAAAACGCAATGTATCTATCTTGATTAAAAAATACTTTATTGCCAAAAAATGCTAACCGTTTTCTGAGCCCTCAGTCAGTCATTAATCTTTTTGTTGGTGGAGGGTCTTGTAAAAAACACAGTATCTGCACAGCACAATAATAATGAGGCATCCCCACATAAAGAAAAGATTATTTAAAATGAAGTTATGGAAAACCCAAAAATAAGTAAAGGGGCACAGAAGAAGTGGTTTTTATGGAGGATGATGAGAGTTTAGCAGACATCTAGGAGCTGACTGTGATCCTCCCTGGAGACTGGGGAAGCCAGCAGAACTACCTCTGCCCCCTCACGTGAACCCACTACAAATCACAGCTATCTCCCTAGAAGGAGCTTGTACACATGCCTGGTGCCCCAGCTTTTGCAGCTGCCTCCCAAGCAAGAGGCCCCTAGATCACCTGGCTGTGACAGCCAACAAGGTTTGCACTCATGGGTCCCTTTAGCAAAGCAGTTATTAATGGGTGCAGGAGTCCTTCCTGCTCCTGCCTGTGGCTATACAGCTGCGCCCAGTGCAGAGGGAGCAGGCAAAAACGCCCATCTCCCGGTGTTTCCCTGGAAGAGCCCTAACTATATACTTTCCCAGCTGCTGTCTGATGCCACAACTTTGAATCAGCCTGCATCTAGGTGCTGACTGTGATCCTCCCCTTCAGGACAATGACAGGTCTTGGCATACCTTCTACTGGGAGCCACAAATAACAACGGCGGCAGCATGGACATCACAGAAGTCTAAGAGACAACAAAGAGCTCTGGCTAGGCTGAGTGATAAGTTCCATTTCCTATGCAAGATTACTCTGTCAAGACTGGGAGAGGTGGTTGTTTTACCTAATGTGCAGAAAGCAACAGAGAGAGTCAAGGAAAATGAAGAAACAGCGATATGTTTCTAACAAAAGAAGATAAATCTCCAGAAATAGACCTTAATGAAACAGAGATAAGTGATTTACCTGATAAAGACTTGAAAATAATGCTAATAAAGATGTTCACCGAAACTAGGACAATGTATAAACAAAGTGAGAATTTCAAAAATGAGAAAAAATATAAAAGTACCAATTGGAAATCATGGAGCTGAAGAATACAACTGAACTGAAAAAAATCAATCAAGGGGTTCAACAGCAGACTAGATCATGCGGAAGAAAGAATCAACAAGCTCAAAGACAGGGCAGTGAAGTTCATCAATCAGAGGAGCAAAAAGAAAAAAAGAATAAAAAAGAGTAAAGATGGCTTAAGGGACTTATGTGACACCATCAAGCAGACCAATATTTGCATTATAGAGGTCCCAGATGGAGAAGAGACAGACAAAGGAGAAGAAAGCTTATTCAAAGAAATAATGACTAAAAACTTAGCCAACTTGGGGAAAGAAAAAGACATCCAGATCCAGGAAGCCTAGAAAGTTTCAAAAAACATGAATCTAAAGAACCCCAAATCAAAACATATTATAATTAAATTGTCAGAAGTTAAAGACAAGGAGAGAATCTTAAAAGCAGCAAGAGGAAAACAATTGGGAGAAGATAAAAAACTCATACAACTCAACAAAAACCCCACAAACAACCCAATTAAAAAAATGGGCAAAAGATCCGAACAGACATTTTTCCAAAGATATACAGAGAGCCAAAGGCACATGAAAAGATGTTCAAAAGCACTAATTATTAGGGAAATGCAAATCAAAACTACAATGAAATATTACCTCACGCCTGTCAGATGGCTATTATTAACAAGACAAGAAATAAATGTTAGAGAGGATGTGGAAAAAAGAGACCACTCATACATTGCTGGTTGGAATGGAAACTGGTGCAGCCACCATGGAAAACAGTATGGAGATTCCTCAAAAAATTAAGAAAAGAACTACCACCTGATCCAGCTATTCCACTGCTGGGTATTCATCGAAAGAACATGAAAACACGAATGTGTAAAGATACATGCACCCCTATGTTCACTGCAGCATTACTGACAATAGCCAAGACATGGAAACAACCTAAGTGCCCATTGGACGAATGGATAAAAAAAGATGTGGTAAATATACACAATGGAATACTACTCAGCCATAAAAAAGGATGAAATCTTGTCATTAGTGACACCATGGATGGACCCTGAGGGTATTATGCTAAGCAAAATAAGTCAGGGAGAAAGTCAAACACTGTACAATCTCACTCATAAATAGAGGATAGAAATAACAACAACAACAACAAACAGAGACACAGAGATTAGATTGGTGGTTACCAGAGGAGAAGTGGGGAGTGAGGAGGGCGAAAGGGGTGAGTGGGCACATGCACATGATGATGAATAGTAATTAGACTTTTGGTGGTGAACACGATGTAATCTACACAGAAATTGAATGTACACCTGAAATTCATGTAATGTTATAAACTAATGTTACCTCAACAAAAGAAACAAAAAACCCCCCAAAACCTTCCAAACTCTCAATAAAATGAGTATAGAAAGTACATAAATATAATAAAGGCCATATATGACAAACCCACAGCCAACATCACACTTAATGGTAAAAAACCGAAAACCATCCCTTTGAGAACAGGAACAAGACAGGGGTGCTCACTCTTGCCACTCCTATTCAACACAGTATTGCAGGTTTTGGCCAAAGCAATTAGGCAGGAGAAATAATAGGTATCCAAATGGGAAAGGAAGAAGTAAAACTCTTGCTGTTTACAGATGACATGATTCTATATATATTAAAACACTAAAGAATCTACCATAAAACTATTAGAAATAACAACTATAGCAAAGTTGCAGGCTACAAAATCAACTTACAAAAATCAGTTGCATTCCTAGGGGCCAGTCCCATGGCATAGTGGTTAAGTATAGTGCCCTCTGCTTTGGTGGCCCGGGTTCATGCGTTTGTATCCTGGATGTGGACCTACACAACTTGTCAGCCATGCTGTGGTGGCAACCCACATATACAGTGGAGGTAGATTGGCACAAATGTTAGCTCAGG